CAAAGTGGAAGTACGATTGAAGTGTCGATGATCGATTATAGTAATACTTACTTTTATTCAATCATCATCAATCCGATATTTCATATTCATCGTCTCGAAGAAAATCAAACCAAAACAGGCTTTATATACTTTTAGAAAAAGATATCTCGGCATATCTCGGCATATCTCGGCATATCTCGGCATATCTCGCATTTTGGGCATTTTTCGGAAGTGAAATCTTTATCTCTGAACCTGGATTTTCAAGTCGTGTATTGTATATAGCGGCAATACTTCGGATGAACCACACTTGGGACGTCTCGTTTCTTGTCAATGCTTAAGGGCTAGGTATGAGCAGTCCGTCAACATGAATATATATGACTCCAGCATGCCATTGATATGCAGTTGTACAACTGATGGTGTTAGTTTCAATAGGATGCGAACTTGCTCAATTCTAACCCTATTGCTTAAGACAAGATGACATCTAATCAATATTTATGCAAACATAGTAATTTTATGGCCAGCTCGATTTTTCGACAACAAATCTCCAAATATAGAGGCATATTTGTATGAATACAAATTTACACATCTCTGAAAGTCAATCTAAATATCTCGACACAATTAGAAGCAATAAAAAATTGTAGCGATAGTAATCCATTTGGTCCAATCAACTCAACGTGCAATAATATGTTTCTTGGGCAAAAGAAGAAAAGAAAAGATCCCGTCATCAAGAACATTATGAATACTTGTTTATCAAAGACTCGGTTCTCATCAAGATTTCATTCGTTCTTGTTATGGCCGTATTATTCATCACCTTAGTGTACAGTTTTAAGGACGAGTGATGCCAGTGTGTCTTCAAGTAAGCTTGTATTCATTTTATAAATGTACGGAAATAATTTCAATAAGGCGACAAAAACCATGACTTCACATATGAGAGTAACTGGAAACAAATTTCATACCATAGATGCAGAATTATTGCGGTCGGAGAACAAAGAACATCGGAAAAATCCAATGTTTTGATGAATAAGTCCATGAACTGGGTCATGAATCCTCCAAAAGTTCAGTTGAGCCTTACAACTATCCAAGGAGTGATCAGTAGACAAAATTATTCAGCTCGACATTATTATCTCAAAGTTAACATGGCCACCCCATTCTGGATTGAAATTATTTATCAAATTTTGAATCTTGGATGAAATCTCTTTTTCAACTACCTTCCCAGCTGCATTTTTTCTCGACGATTTATGTCATTCATTCAATTGTTTGAATAGATAATTGATGTTGACTTTCTTCGTACATGCTTCGAAATGATGCCTAAACATTTAAAATCCATTCCAAAATAAGCTTTCAACTGATAAAATGGCAGAAATGAATGAATAAACTTGAGATAATATATCATGGTATGGAGTATATCAGCCAGTTCAATACTACGAGACTTTAGCCAAAAAATGGAGCTGCAACAATAGCAATGGATATCAGTAACATTACCGTTGGACAAATGTTGACGTCTTAATTGCTTATTCAGATAGTAGACGCAGAATTTGAGGTTTAAAGCTTTTCTCCTGATAATCAACATTATCTTTAGCACCGTTTTCTGGAAGCGTGTCGTGACAAAGGTATAGTGGAAAACTTATTAGAGTCTTTTAATCCCGATAATCCACTAACGACAATCCGAGGATCGTAATAACTCGATTTATATATATGATGTTCCATCCAGCCGCATTTGGTCGCTATATGCCATTCGAATTCCATTATGATTCTCGCATCAATCTGACAGAGATGTTGTATATACTCAAACATCGCGTCGACGAATTTTGATGCCAGAACTACCATAATAATTCCTAGCTATGACTGAATGAAAGGATTTGCAGGAACGACTATAATTTTTCATGTCAGATACTTTTTTGGTGAATCCTACACTTGGTTAACGCCACTTTGAATGCTATTCGAATGCCACGATCGGTCTTGACTCACCAGTCTCGGAACTGTCATACTTATGGGTATAAGAAGCTTATCAAAATGGTCATGACGTCTAATTTCAGACTTATCTTGGACTGGTAAAACCGGATGCTTAATGGTTCTAAGCTTACTTCAGAGACTAGAATAAGAAGACAAATTGCTACTTACAGTCCGCTTTTCAGAAAATGCCCGACCCTGGCAAAAAAGGACATATTGACTACAATCCAAATCTACAGACGTACAGGACAAAAGATGGGACCTATTGTACTTCGCTAAACAGATATCGAATAGGGAACCATGTCTGCCAGGCGACAACTAGGGCCCGAGCTCCTCATATCCATCGCTCCTTCTTTTTGGAACACTTCATCTATACGAGCTGGCTACAGCTATTGGCTCAAATATCAGGTACCTGAACGGTCTAGAACGAAGGAGATTCGATCAAAGAATAGCGTAGCTTACAAAGAAGTAAATTATCTCTAACAACCTACACGTGATGGTCACGTTATTCGAATACTGGCACATAGTGACTTACCTAAACACGTATGACGCAAAAGACGTCATAGCGAAACGTGGGAAGTGTATGGGTGCATGAGGAGAACGTTCCTACAAGTCACTTAGGTATAGACATTAACTGTGTGAAATTAAGGAATTTAATGATGTGTTCGACCTCATGTCGATCCTATTCATCTATAGGTATCGCTACAAAAAATGAACTAGTTTGATTTACACCCGAATGGAGGGAAGTCTTCGGACCTCTCGGCTTTCGACGCTCGGTCCTCGAATCTAAGAAAGCAATACACCACCTCTACTCAATTCATTCGTGCCGTAGTCACGTAATCTTACCGAGCCGTCCGACTCAAAAGGCATGTGTTACTTGCCTAGGATCAAAGTGTATAGGCCGTTACGGATACGGATACGGCGAGTGGTATTGACCATCATCCTGGCCGACTCGGGATATGTCGTCAAGGGGTCGAATTGAATCACAGCTATCATCAGAATGTACGGAAGTGCAATAATATGGGTTATTATTCTTCATCAGACAAAACACGGCCATATCTACGGGTAGCTCGCTCATAAGATTTCCCTCTCTCTCACACCTGATGGGAAAATCTAGCGGAAAGCTCACATCCAGACGAGAATCTGAGTTACTGATATCTTACATTCTCCACGAACTTGTCTCAAGGATATGGGGGATAGAATTGCAGGTGATCCGAGCCAGGAACGTATCCAGACAATTAACCCTGTCTAAAATCAAATACTTGCTCATTTCTCGTCTAAGCTAAGCTCCGGGAAGTCCGGAATACGAAAATCGGCTCAATCAGCGCGGGAGACATCAAGATTCACATGTGCTACATATTATTCCGTCGTCACGGCGTTCAACGGGTCAAAGCACGGATAGAATATTGCCGTTGTTTACTGTGTTGTTGTTACGGGAGACGATTCCGCATAATCACTCGACTGCTCATTCGTCGGTTTCGTGGGTCAAGATGATTTGGTAGAGTGGGGTGTTATGAAAATGTGAGCAGATATGTAATCTGAAATGATAAGATAGTAAACAAAGTTTTGCCTTAAAAAGCGCTGATGGTTGTGGTGAATGAATTCTTTCTGTACCACTTCATACAACTTTATATCTTCACAAAATCATCACCACACAACAACACAACAACACAACAATCCGACACCACACTTCACAAAATCTCACCACATCTCACCACATCTCGCCACATCTCGCCACATCTCACGGGAAACATTACTTTTCCCTTCGAAATCTAACTTACTACCACTATCCCTCATAACATCATGGACTCAACAACTATTTTTGTAAATGACTTTGGTCTAGGGGGGACATCTACAAACCCAACACAGATCCAAAGCAGTGGCCTCTCCAAGAGCAAGACTTACCTCCCAAACTTCCGACTCAACCATCGAAAAGGCGGCGGATTTCCCGCGCCTGTGATGAATGTCGCAAAGAGAAAATATCAAGTGCGATGGTAAGAGTGTCTGTGATAATTGCGTCTATTACAAATTGGGTACGCAACAGTAGACATCAAGTCAAGGTATCTTACTAAATTAACTTATTAGATTGCACTTATTGTAAGCCCTCAAACAGACAAAAGAGGCCGAGTCGAAAAGACTGTGAAAATCTACGGAAACAGTACCGAGAAGCCTTGGATAAGCTAACAGTCCTGGCCCCTGATATGGATCTCTCTAGGTTCACTGACGGCATAATGGTCCCAGAATATGGGATCGATATTCATTCCTCGGATGATTTGCGGACCTGTCTATCCTACAAAAGCGATGATCAGGTATCACCGAATACCAATTATTCGATAACACCTGATCATCAAGTAGAGATGGTCGGGATCCAAAATCACAGCGAGGCCGTCAGCTGGGAGATTCGAGGAGACTTATCCGGCGTTGACGTACTTCAGCATATCCGGGAATACGTGAATGACGTTCTGAGTGAGTATAACACCACGATAAGTTCGGATTCATGTCCCGGTATGTCCTCATCGGAATCTTCGTCGATTTTATTCGCTCGGTCTGGAGATAATCCATCTTGCCTGGGAGATTTACCGTCTTTTGAGACGGCAAAAGAAGTTTGTGAAGCCGCTTTTGGCGAAACAAACACATTATATTGTTTTATAGATACGCCTGCTTTTTACCTGATGCTAGCAGAGCTATACAAACTTCCTGGCGGATTATTTCATGGGCAGAAAAACGATTTCCTAAATCTTCTCTTTTCAATTCTTGCTCTGGGCTTTCATGTCCAAGATAACGTGACAACGAACGCAATAGGTCAGGAGATTTGATAAGCAAAACAGGAATTGACCAAGGGTAACATTAGATTTAATTTTCTTCATCTAATCTTCAAGATGAACCATGAAACTAACTTTTTGCTAAGTCGAAAATATTTTACTTGCGCAAGATGCGCCATAGATATTTCCGACTGTGGAACCATTCCGCAGCTCCAAACAGTTTTATTCTTAGTCCTTTACCTCCAATCTACTGCTGGCCTGGATGTAGGCTATTCATACATTATACTGGCACAGCAATCGGCTTTTCGAATGGGGTTGCATCTGAAGCATGATAATCAATGTAATCCCATAGAGAGCGAAGTAAGATTGAGGATCTTTTGGACGATTCAAAAGATGGATATCTCTATGTCGGCAATTCTTGGATATCCCAAGATTCTTGATCTGGATACTATTGACCAAGAAATGCCGACAGAGGTATTCGACGTGAATATAACTGAGTCTAGTGAGAATGGCTACCCAGTAGCAAAATGGTCATCATTACTGCAAGCATCCAACGCTCATATGCGGTTAATCTTGATACTTGATAAAGTAATCAAGTACATCTATCCCAACAATAGAGTGGGAAGATCCGTTAATGAAGCTTTGGATACTGGGCATATTGTTGACCACGCCATCGTGCGGGAAATCGAAAATGATCTTCAGCGATGGCGTCAAGGGTTACCAATGGGTATCCTTTCTGGCAGAAGTGAAAATCATCAAAGCTACTGGTAAGCATGTTGCACGGAAAAAGGTCATTGGCATCAATATCTCTAACAAACTTTACAACAGCACGCAACAACTTTTAAGCCTCGTTTATGCTCACGTGCAGATGATGCTTTATAGACCATTCTTGTCATACATCTCCGGAAATGCTTTTGTCGACGCAAATAAAAACAAAAAGTCACAGGCTTGCGCTTCTGCCTACTTTGGAGTATGTCAGAATGTGATTCGAATCGTGAAGGAGTTGCAAGAACGTGGATTAGCCATTGGACCGAGATGGTTTACGGTAAGTCATCCATAATCCTGGTATAATCATTGGGAAGCTCTCGAATAAATCGAACCATTTGATTTGGCATATCCATTTTTTCAAGGAAAAGGTGACTGACATTCCAGTTACAGATAAATATCACATCATTTGCCACTCTGTCCTTGGTTTATTTCAACTGTCAGCGGACTAATTTGTCTCGACCATCGGACCTTCATCCTGACCCTCAAGTGGGACATGAGGCGACCAAGGTTATAGCGCAAAGAAAACGGGATGCATGCAGCTTTTCATCAGCCTTTCAGGTTTGTGGCTTACCAGTATGGGGTATAGCGTGCTAACATTTTCGAGACTCTATCGAGACAAATATCGCCAAAGACCATGTCTAGCATCAGAGGTACAGTAGCATCAACTCACAGTAAGGAGGTATTACCTATCTCAGCAACCTTATCGGTCGAAAGAGAGCAAATTCAGACTAGGTCTGACTCACGCTCATGTCTTCCGGAGGAGGCCCCTAATTGTGAGCCTACAAACCAAAGGCTAGAATGGGATAATGAAAATGTAGCCGAAGTCTCAAATCTTGCCAGCAATACTAGACAAGATTCAGTATTGACTCCGTGTGAGAGGTCGGATGACGAGATTTTCGAGTTTATAAATTTTGAAGGCGATGAGGGTTTGAAGGGTTTTGACACGCAAAATGAAAGTGTGGCGGGAACTTGCTCTCTAGATATGGAATCAATCCAGGATATACCTACTGAATCTACGGATCTGGCCTTCGAAAGCATGTCAATGGACAACTTCATTCATTCTTGGAAATATGATAATGGGGTTCCTGATTTAGACGAAATGATTGAGACCGGGATATGTTTGGCAGAGAGTAGAAATGGAGCGAGTTTTGGTCCTCGGAACCAGAAGGATAATATAATGGGACCAAAGTTTCGAATTAAAATTCAAGAATAAACGGGATCGGTGTTTGGTTAGGGCTTTGGGATATGGGATATGAAAGCGAAACGTATAGATTAGCGGGAGTTTAAAAGTCATTTTAGGCTATTGAAATTACGGGAGGATAAATTTTGTAGTAATCATATAATATCATACATGAATAGTTTTCTTAAATTATTGATAATGATTCATGAAACGTTTACATGCTATATTTTTGGTGATATATGATTAAAAGAGAGGTGATGTCAAGGTGCGCAAACTATTAGTTATTTTTCAATATAATCAGAAATGTGAGTGAAATCGAATCTGTGATGAATGGCTCGTTGAGAAAAACCTGTGAGATACATTGGGGACTCAATGTACAACTATTACGGCTTGTTACTTTGATGAACTTCGTGTACATTCTGGATTAGGTCTTAAACTTGGGTCAAATACTGTTTGGATCTAAGGATGGGCACAGAATTGTTTATGCAATCTGCATATAACGTTATGCTATGGTGCTGAATAAGGATGTTATTGTTGACTTCTTCACAAACAGGAATAGCCGCGCTATGATTGGTGGGATGAGGTTTGTTATTAACCTGCAAGTGACATGGGAAAGTAATTTAGGTGTAGGCAGTTGTATATTGAGTCGAGAGTATATAATTATCTTCTATCTGTACATCTTTCTATCTCTAGAACATAATAAAGTGCGAAGCATCTTCACTAGTATCTTTAATCATTATCTACAAGCGCAGTATTTATAGATCATATTCCCTTTAGAAGCGCGTAGCAGAGTTAGTATTAAACCACTAGGGTGACCTCATTTGATAAGAAAAACTTCTCGCTGAGCTACGCATCAGTCTAGGATCACGTATTCTTCACAGCGATCCAGCCTCTTCATGAGTGTAGTTTTGATTTTCATATTGCAATATCCCCCTTAATTTGCTGTTTAATCGCAAAAATTCTCAATATTACGCTTGGATATTCAGACAAGCTGTTAGACTCTACGAGTCAATTGAATAATGTAAGAAGTAAAGGGTAAAACTTGTCAATTAATTCCTGGGCTGCCATTCTCTTTCTGATACTATCTAGGTTATGTATGTCCAGAAAATGGCAAATGCTCTATCTGTCCCGAACGTGTCCCCATGAACCGAATTCTCATGGTTTGGAACGAAACATCTCTAGTGAGAATATATAGAGTTCATATAGCTACAGCCAAAGCGAAACACCTTTGTCCGAAACAAGTAACTGCAAGCTTTCAAACCTAACAACTTAAACTCTATATTGATCGCTCCCAAACTATCTATAGTTTGATACAAGCTGAAAAACGATCCAACCGTGACAGGATGCAATTTTATATCTTACAGAGCTCTTTTGACCATGGCCAAATTATAATTTGAACCGGGGATGTGTTTAAATGCAGTGATAATCTTTCACTAGACGTATCACAGGAAGATCACGATCTGATCAGTCAGGTCTAATAACTGTGTTGAGCGATGGGAATATTAATCTAATAGTGTACATGTTTGTTTTTTTTTACGTCTAATTAGAGTGAGCCTTAGCCCCTTCGCCCTATACTGTTGTGCTGGCTCGGTTGAGTTGTTAGGAGACAGGGGAACGGAGGATGGGCTGCTGGATTAGGAAAGGGTGGAAAATACAGGCTGTTGCACAGACGCTGTTCATGTACTCTACAATCTCTTCACCTGCCGAGTTGAGTGAATTAATCTATCCAAAATAATATCATACTTCACATCATCCATTAGATGATATATCAATCGTCGGAATGCACATATAGCATCACCTTCATAGATCACCATTGTCAGTAAGAGCTCACATTTGATACCTACTGACACCCATTTGGCCACAGTGACACGCACTCAGTGTCCATCGTGCCATCAACCCAGCGTGAGCGCGCCGTCTCCGCGACCCACCATTGCACATGAACCCGTGTAATTCCACCGACGGACAGCAGAGTCATAATTTCCATATACCCTCAAAGCTCATAACCACAACATATACACCTAACCGGGTAAATGGCGCTAGGGCTTACTACTCGAGTTGCTGAGGCGCCCATATTCCAAACATAAGAAATGAGACCTATATAACTAATCTACGTGTTTGTGAGGGGGAACCCAACACAAACTATCCATGGTGGTACAATAAAACTAAGTGTAAGGGAGACGTCTCAGATAGGTAATATCACTGGGTAGGAGTTATGATATACAGATAGCTCGAATAAGTAAGTAGTCTCCAACAGGTAATAAGATACAAGAACGTCGTATGTCCAATCCTACCAGCAGTAAAGCGACTAGTTATACTCTAGGTAAAAGTGAACTGGAGCTTCCTCCCAACTCATACAATAGCTCAACGTTACATGAGATAAACCCTGAACTAAACCTATGTGGTAACCAACCCATTACATGGCCCACCAACAAATATGCTATACGCTAATACTAGTATTTGGCAGGGGATGATGTTGATCCAGATGTATTCCCTGACACTAAGTATACATTGGTAAGATATGTCTGCACAGTGACGCATAGTATATCCCAGGAACGCCGATCGGGCCTACTTATAAACAAATGATTTGAACTTAGAGTACACAAAAGTGCTATAGTGACGTGTCAACTATTGTGTCCTTTGGGGGGAACCTGGGGCAAAAAGCCGAGAAAATTTTTGTCTCTTCAAGCCAATTGACAAGCTTAATGGCGCCTTAGTGGGTTTCGAGAAGGAATTTGGTTATGTTTGGATTGGTTATAGGTGCCTTTGGGGTTCTAATTGTTGGCAGGCTGCATTCTAAGAAGTGTTTCGCGGACTTAGGCCCGCCACAGCTACAGTGCATATTTGCATTGGTATGAGATAGCCGTAAATGGTAAGAGGCGAAGTCTCCATGCCCTGATCGTGCGGCGTATTTATGAGCAACGAGATGCCTTTGGTGTGATAGCTCTCCAGGACAGCGATCGGAAACTCCGATGTTCAAGTCTTTGTAGAACACGGGGCAGATATTTCCCAATACTTTTTGTAGGCTTCCATTGTTGAATACTTAACCCACTTTTTTGCAGCTGAAAGAGTGAGATGAGAGGGCAAAGGAGGAGGGAGTATTGTCATGGCTTTTTTCGCCGCTTCATCTACATGGCTATTTCCTGTGATATTCCGATGACCAGGAATCCAGTGGACTTGAACCTTACCAGGAGTGGTATGGGGGAGGGCGAAGACAATGCAGCTATTCTAGATGCGTATTGGCAAATTTGATGAATACTTCTTGAGAAGAGCAAACTGGGACGCTGTTCCGAGTTGTCGAGCAGCGTCGAGATTATCGAGAACCCAGAGATTGTTGGTGAAACGGGCAGACGAAAGTTGAAGTGCCATAGTAACGGCTTGCAAGGCTGCGTTGACTTCCGCGTCAAATACAGTGAGCGATGAGCTAAGAGGTATACACTTACGAGATACAATACGACTCGCTTGATAGATGACCACGCCACCGCCAACTCGAGGGCCAGAATCGGTCTCACGAAGCCCTCCGTCCGAATATGCTACTAGATCTTGGAAGGGGATACCAGCAGGAAGTCGATGTGTGAAGTTAGTTACTCTTCTGATACTTGCATGCCAGTTTTCTTCTGCTGACCAGGGAGGTTGGACAAGAGGATCTATATTTTTTGTCTTTGGGAAGTTAAACACCCAGCCTGAGAAGCGGGAGACCCGGATTTCCCGCGTTTGTACCCAAGATAGGCGACGGTTAAGAGGATGCCTTGTGTCCAAGCGGTGAGTGCGCAAGGCGGCCATTCCTGATCTTGAGTCTAACTCGACTTCCGGAGGGAGCAGCCCTGCCTCACGATAGAGGGCTGAGATCGGAGTGGTACGATATACAGGCAGAATTGCTCGGGCGCTGGTTGAAATGACTTTCTGGAGAAGAGAGAGGTTCCCTTCGATACGATTCGAAATGGTCCGAGTTGAAGCCAATGTCCTGGTGCGCCCAGGCCACCATATTTCAGCTCCATAGTATGCAATTGGCAGTACGCATGATATTACTGCTCGCCGGAGGAGCCTTGAGGTGACGCCTCGGGTAGTGTTCCCTAGATTTTGTAATGCATTTGCAATTTTGAAAGCTTTGCCAGCTAGAGTACGCACATGTCATTTTCAAGTGAGATTTTTATCAAAGTACACTCTGAGCCACCTTGTATAGGGACGAGATGCATTTTCGGAGATGAAAAATCCCTCACAATTGATAGGCAGTGTGGAGTTTGGATCCTTGTCTGCACGTCTCCGGGAGAAGTGTTGAAGTTCTGTCTTTCCTGGATCAAAGGTTATGCCTTCTCCTCGGCCCCAGGCCAATACCTCTTGCAGCGAGGCTGTCAAACGGCCGCAATTTTCTTGGAGTGAGTCACGCGTCTCAATTAATGCAATGTCATCTGCATAGCCGAACCTCAGAGATACTTTCCCCATTTTAAATATAGGTGAGATGTAAAACATAAAAAGGATTGGGGAGGCGGGCGATGTCGAATAAGTTATTCATTATGCGCATAAATATTAGAATAGATTGGAAGACGAGGTAACAGCCAAGATTGCTAAACATAGGCTGGTTGATGAGAATCACACGAAAGCTTACTCGTATGTATTGTTGCGAGTAAGGGTTAAGTTTAGGTATACTCAGCCTCGCAATCTTACAAAGCCATTTTAGGCAAATTACATTTTTAACTCGACATTATTCAATTAGAATGACCTAAATTAGTTGGATGGTCAAGTCTTTTATTTTCCTTATGATCATATTCATTCGTATATATAGATCTATAGTTCCGGGAAAATAGAATCAAGTTGTTTTTACTGAGTTATCTTATTCTTCAATCTTAAATACACATTGTCTGCCATAGGTCAGACACCCAGATACCTGACAGGCGACCCTTGGGGAAGTCCGCAGTTGACCTGCTGGAGTGGGCCAGTTTCCCCATCTAGACGAATTTGAACCGGGCGACCAGTGGTAAACGAGCTTACCCAATTAACAAGAGACTCAGGCCAGCCTTGCTCGCGCAAACGTCGCG